AGGTGGGAAATCTATACCAAGCACAATGACAAAAGCTAATTGGGCATGAATAAATATCCTCATTATGTGGGCTGCTGCACCATTGATTAAATCTGTGCCTCTCTGCCCCCAACCCCATTACCCTGAGCTTATCTAGCATTGACAGGTACTGGGCTTGGGCAGATGGGGCAGATGGAAAATAACACTCTTGCTCAAAGAGAGATTACACACTGAAGAGGCACCTTGTCTAGGATGCATAAAGAAATGCTGCTACGTATCTACAGCAGTGCTAGCAGGAACCCCAGGGTCTGGCGTCTCAACTCGCAACTCCCTTTATGAATAGCATGGAGATGTCACTCTGTTGGTTGCAGAGTCAAGGTCTTACCTTGGCAACCTGGGGGTTTCTGTCCTGTAAATGGATCAGGAGGGAATCTCGTGTCTGCTTAACCTGACCGGTGAAAAATTTTTTCCATTTCCTCCCAGCAAAGGCAGCCAATTGCCCAAACAAAACAAAGGCCGAGTATCTCAGACTGTCATTCTCCTGTGGTCCCCGTCGACAAAACAATAAGAAAGCCAGATCATTATCAAAAAGCAATTGCATCTGAACACATCACAACCGTCAATCAGAACACATCACAGCCGTCAATCTTGGCTGTACATTACAGGGTGGGCGGTGAGATCTGGTCTAAAGCACTTAACTGGGTGGGTGGGGATGGCTTGAAGAGGGCCCAAAGGCTTCAATGAACCTCTTTTCCAGCAGATGAGAGGGCTAGCCTGGGAAATCACTAGTGCTACTCCCACATTCCCAGATTTTTTGTTCATTATTTCGTGTTTTGGAGATAGAATACATTTATAAAGTTCCCAAAATTCAAAATAACCAAAAAGTTTTATAGAACAAGTAGATCTACTTCCTACTCCTCTCCATTGGCCACCAAATTTTCCTCCCCACAAGCTAATAAAGTTATGTTTTGTGTACATCTCTCCCGAAAATAAAGAAGAAAGATGTATATCATGTGATCCTTTCCCTCTTTTCTACGTCAATGGAAGCACACGCCACTGTTGTTATGCACCTTGAGTGTTCATCAGTCTGAGAGCTCTTTCTATGTCAATACACAAAGGAGTTTTCATTTTTCTTTTTCTTTTCTTCTTTCTCTTTTTCTTTTCTGCACCAAAATTCATTCAACCAGTTCCCTGTTTATTACTCCAGCATTTTTGCCAAGTCTCTTCTCTTTGCTTTTGGTCTGAGTTTCTCCTATCTGCAGTGGATATAATAATCATGTTTCTTCCCCAACACCCTCCCACCTCTCCCTGATTCCAGTCTGATTGGTTGGTTTGTCCCTGAGTGCATTTCAGTGGACTCCACCCTCTCTTTCTTTCCAAGGTGAGCTGTTTGGTCCAAGTATTACCTTTCCAGGTGAGGAGAACAAGGCCCAAGGCACTTAAGGAACTTGCCCAAAATCACACTGTCAGGTAACAGAGCCAGTATAGTAACCCAAACACCTGACTTCTGGTGCACAGGTTTTGTAGTCTAAGCCCTCCTCCAGGTAAACCAGAGGGAGGAGGGCTGGGGTGGGCCTTCACAGGGGGGGAAGGAGCACCAAGAACTGGGGGTCACAGAGACCCAACAAGACTGAGAACCACTAATGGTATCGTGAAGTATATTTTAAAAATTTAGCACATGATGCATACCGAAATTGCCTTAGGATTGCATTTTATTTTATTCTTTTTAGACACAGCATCCTGCTACATTGCCCAGGCTGGCCTCCAACTCCTGGGCTCAAGTGACCCTCCTGCCTCAGCCTCCTGAGTAGCTGGGATTACAGGCACACACCACCATGCCTGGCTTAGGGTTGTATTATCTTCACTGCTCTATCAGTGAGGGTGTGTGTGTGCATGTGTGTGTGTGTGTGTGTGTGTGCGTGTGTGTTTAACTTTAATGGAGAATGTACCCGTCCAAAGCCATACCCTAATGCTATAAGATGTATAGACATGTAAAACAGATGCCCGTCCTCCTAGGGAAGGGCCTCAGATAGTGAAGAGTGCTATCTGTAATCGAGATATAAACTGTCAGCAAACAGCTCTGCATAAGAATTTCTGTGTTTCTACGTGGCCAGGGATTTCTGCTCAAAAATTCCAGGCAACTAGGGTTTTTAAAAATGGCTGAAGGCCAGGCACATGTCTCATTTCTGAAATCCCAGCCCTTTGGGAGGCTGAGACAGGAGAATTGCTTAAGCCCAGTTAGAGACCAGCCTGGGCAATATAGTGAGACCCCATCTCTACAAAAACTACAAAAATCAGCCAGGCACAGTGGCATGCACTTGTGGTCCCAGCCACTCAGGAGGCTGAGGTGGGAGAATCGCTTGAGCCTGGGAGGTTGAGGCTGCAGTGAGCTGTGTTCCTAGGCCACTGCACTCCAGCCTGGGCAATAGAGCGAGATCCTGTCTCAAAAAAAAAAAAAAAGTGGTTGAACGACAAACACGTTCTGGAAGTTCAGATGGCACCTCCAAGAGATTTAGAGCCATTTCCCCAGAGACATCTGCTTACACTCCAGTGTGGTAAGTAGGGACCTTTCCTCGCTCCCTCCCCAGAGAGAACTGGCTTACATTCAAGAGCAAAAATCCCGCTGTGTCTCTGGAGCAGGTGGGACACAGGTGCCCAGCTCCTATATGAGCTCCAAGTTACATAAGGTCAAGGCCTCTTCTCCCCTCCTGTGCTGCTGACACATCTGGCTCTCGCCATGTGGCTCCAGAGAGAATTAGGGCTTGGGGACATGCTGCAAATCTCTCTGGGAGTAAATAAAAGGTCTGTTCGCTGTTCTGTAGGTCTTGTCTTTCAGGGACAGAATAACTGGCAGGCTAACTTGTTAGCTTGCAGTCAGGGTCTCTGACACTTCTCAGTTTCGGACTGAACAATGTGCCGGTGCACTTTTTGCTTAGCCTGACTTGTCATCTGAGAGTTAAGAGTGCAGCCCTATAGTCAGAGGAGCTGGCGACATGGCTACTTCCTCGCTCTGTGAACTTGGGCAAGTTCTAACCTTTCTGTGCCTTGGTTTCCTTGTCTACAAAGTGAAGACAATTTCAGTGCCCATCTCACAGGGTTATTGTGATGATTATATGAGATGATTCATGTAAACTGCCTAGCACTGTGCCTGGCACACAGTGAGGGCTCACTAAATGCTAATCATTGCTATTGCCACATTTATAAGAGAGCATTGACTACATGTTAGTCAATCAGTGTACATCATCATCAGTGTACATATACCCACTTCTCTGTTAAGATGAATACTCGCCAGGCGCAGTGGCTCACACCTGTTATCCCAACACTTTGGGAGGCCAAGGCAGGTAGGTCACTAGAGCCCAGGAGTTTGAGACTAGCCTGGGCAATATAGTGAAAACCCATCTTTACCAAAAATACAAAAATTAGCCAGGCGTGGTGGCATGTGCCTATAGTCCCAGTTACTTGGGAGGCTAAGGTGGGAGATCACTTGACCCCAAAAGGCAGAGGTTGCAGTGAGCCGAGATCACGCCATGGCACTCCAGCATGGGCGACAGAATGAGACCCTGTCTCAAACAAACAAAAAAAACCCTTGAGGGGTAGAGATAAAATTCTATGCATCTTTATATGTCCTCCCAACCCTAGCACAGCACTAGCCTCTCAACAAGATGTGTTAATAAATAAGTGAATAATAGAGACCTTGTTTCCACAGCAACAAACCATCCACAGCTCACATGTCTTTTTTTTTTTGAGATGGAATCTTGCTGTATTGCCAGGCCGCAGTGCAGTGGTGCGATCTCGGCTCACTGCAACCTCTGCCTCCCAAGTTCAAGTGATGCTCCTGCCTCAGCCTCCTGAGTAGCTGGGACTACAGGCGTGTACCACCAGGCCCAGCTAGTTGTTTGTATTTTAGTAAAGACAGGGTTTCGCCATGTTGGCCAGGGTGGTCTCTGTCTCCTGACCTCGCGATCCACCCACCTTGGCCTCCAAAGTGTTGGGATTACAGGCGTGAGCCACCGCACCCGGCCCCACAGTCACATTTCTAATCCCACTTTGATTTCAATAAAGCAGAATTTTTCTAATTTACTTACATCATCTAATAAAGTCCTGGTCTGAAGTGTGATGTCTATGAAGAAGGAACCCAAACCTTTCCCCTGGATCTTGCCCAGAACGACGGTCAGAGTCTTCATACTCTCATGGATGACTTCCAAACTCACAGGGTCATACAATCCGTACACCAGCAGGTCGAGGACAATTTTCTTATGCTTTCTCACCTGTCACCAATGTTTGAAAGCATTAATAGCACAGGAATTGCTCCCCATGGGTTGAAAAGCAACCCCACATCTAGGCTACTAATAACCTAGGACTTGAATTAAGAGACCAAGGCTTTTTCTCAAGATCTGCACAACTCTCATTAAAATAGAAAAACTCCATTAACCCAACCCAAGAGCCCAATTCAGCCTAGGAAGGAAAACAGAAAGAGTGATCTGGAGTGTGGCATGTGAGTGGGTGAAGCTGGGTAGGGGTCTTCAAATAGGGCGGCAGACCTGGGTGATCTCAGGGCCTGGGGAGAACTAGGTACCCGTATAGTGGGGAGGAGACAAAATGAGCACTGAAGTTGGCAGATGGTAAAGGAGGAGGTGGAAAAAACATCTTTTATGAAACAAACATACATTACTAGAAAAAAATCACTTAAATTTATCAGGAAGGGTAACAGCTGTGAGTTTATCTTTCCTGTAGCTCTGTCTCCCACAACTGATATTGCTGAGGTGACATGAGCCTAAGACGACCCTGAATGAGTGACACCTTGAATGAGTCTCCTCCGCTTGAGTGCAGAAGGAACCTGTGACTCGCTTCCAGACTACAGACGTGACTTTATATTGCATAAGACTCTTTTTTTTTTTTTTTTTTGAAATGGAGTCTCGCTCTGTTGCTCAGGCTGGAGTGCCTGGGGTGATCTCTGCTCATACCTCAGCCTCCCGAGTAGCTGAGATTGCAGGCATGCCTGGCTAATTTTTTGTATTTTTACAAAAATACAAAAGAGATGGGGTTTCATCATGTTGGCCAGGCTGGTCTTGAACTCCTGACCTCAAGTGGTCCGCCCGCCTTGGCCTCTCAAAGTGCTGGGACTGCAGGCGTGAGGCACCGCAGCCCAGCCCATAACACTCTATCTTAGCAGACAGGAGGAGGCAACACCCTCCTGCTGGCCTGGAGGAAGCGAGTACACATCTACACATCTACAAACATCTAGTACACATCTACAAACAAAGATCTAGTGCACATCTACGAACATCTCATTTGGTCTACATAATGCTGTGAGAGAGTGGCTTCTAGGCATTGAAAGTGGCCCCCAGCATACAGCAGTCAAAAAAACAGAAACCTCTGTCCCGCAACGGGAAGTAACTGAATTCTGCCAACAACTATGTAAGCGAACCCTGAGCTTCAGGAAGGAATGCAGTCTGGCAGACACTTGATTGCAGCCTGGTGAGATCCTGAGCAGAGGACCCAGCTGAGCTACACCTGGACTCCTGACCAGCGAAAACCGAGATAATCAACATGTGTTCCTGTAAGCTGCTAAGTGTGTGCGGTGGTTTGTTCCGGGGTAATAGATAACTAATACCTCAGAGACCATACTCCAGCCCTGGAGTCTCCACACCAAGAGGGTTGGAGAGGCTTGGGGGGCTGGCTGAGCCCCACTCTCCTTCCCTACCTTGTCAGGGGCTTCACGGGCCATGGTTCGCAGGCCTCTCATTGCCATGTGACGCTTTTTAGCATTGGGGTCCCGAGCTCTTTCTGCCAAGATGAAAAGCACATTCTTCAGGGGCTCCCGCTTCTGGAACCTCAGTTTCCAAGAGACCTGGGTGATGGGTCAAAAATGTATTAATTTGGGAGTGTTTAGAGTCATACCCAATCCCAACCCCAATCCCTCCCTCTAAAGAAAATCCCGCGATTGCCTGCTCAATTTTACCCCTTCATTCTCCTACTAAAAATGCCTGAGTTTTGTTGGAAATGTGCTCATTTGGTCTACATAATGAATAAATTGATGGAGAAAGAGGGCAATAAAGATAATGCAGGCTGGTGGTAAGGTAGGTTTAGGAGATTACGGGGAGTGGCTCTAGAGCAACTATGGGCGTGACAGAAGTTGAAAGAAAGAAAGACTTGATCAGTGTTGATGTGACCTGGGAACAGGGATCCGTTTCACAGGGAAAGGAGTGCCATTACTCCTCAAAGAGCTCCCTTTACCCCTTCTTTTCCAGCTCTTTCCCATTTTTCTGCTCTCCTTTGTAGCCAAATGCCTTGAAAGACTTCTATACTTGTTTTCTCCCATTTGTCTCCTCCCATTGCCTCTTGAACCCTCTGCAATCAGGCTAATGTCCCCTCACCCCTACCCTGCCATATGGCTAATTCCAAGGGTCAGTTCTCAGTAGTCACGTTACTCAAACTCTCAATAGCACTTGACATAATTAGCAAAGCATATCTGCAAACATCTAGTACACATCTACAGACATTTCAGGACTGACGTAGTACACATCTACAGACATTTCAGGACTGACCTAGTACACATCTACA